CCATTTTGGCCCCGCCCTACCCCCGGGGGTCATGATTTGAACAAACATGAATCTACACTGCCTGAGCATGCTTCCATATAAATATGATGAATTATGGCTTTGTCATTCTTGAGAAGAAGATTTTTAAAGAATTTTCCTATATATTTCTATGTAAAACTTTGGTCGGCCATTTTGGCCCCGCCCTACCCCCGGGGTCATGATTTGAACAAACTTGAATCTACACTACCTGAGCATCCTCCCATATAAATATGATGAATTATGGCTAAGTCATTCTTGAGAAGAAGATGTTTAAAGAATTTTCCTATATATTTCTATGTAAAACTTTGGTCGGCCATTTTGGCCCCGCCCTACCCCCGGGGGTCATGATTTGAACAAACTTGAATCAACACTACCTGAGCATGCTTCCATATAAATATGATGAATTATGGCTTTGTCATTCTTGAGAAGAAGATTTTTAAAGAATTTTCCTAAATATTTCTATGTAAAACTTTGGTCGGCCATTTTGGCCCCGCCCTACCCCCGGGGTCATGATTTGAACAAACTTGAATCTACACTACCTGAGCGGGCTTCCATATAAATATGATGAATTATGGCTAAGTCATTCTTGAGAAGAAGATTTTTAAAGAATTTTCCTATATATTTCTATGTAAAACTTTGGTCGGCCATTTTGGCCCCGCCCTACCCCCGGGGGTCATGATTTGAACAAACTTGAATCTACACTACCTGAAGATGTTTCCCCATAAGTTTCATCTTTCCTGGCACAGTGGTTCTTGAGAAGAAGATTTTTAAAATATGCCACTAAGTTTTCATTAATTCCCAATTATCTCCCCTTGAATGAGGGCGTGGCCCTTCATTTGAACAAACTTGAATCCCCTTCACCCAAGGATACTTTGTGGCAAGTTTGGTTGAAATTGGCCCAGCGGTTCTTGAGAAGAAGTCGAAAATGTGAAAAATTTACAGACAGACAGACAGACAGACGGACAGACGGACGCCAGACAAAATGTGATCAGAAAAGCTCACTTGAGCCTTCCGCTCAGGTGAGCTAAAAAGCGCTTTATCCTAGTCTCATGGACAAAATTGTCGTACGATTCTGTGCTTTCAAGAAATCAATATTTCATAAAATTTTTGAAAATTTTCTATAGGAAATATTTAAATATACACGGCATTTTAAAATAAGTACAACAAATCCTGTCTAGGCTGTTTAAAAATAGAAAGTAAAATTATTGATATACAACGTGGTCTTTGTTTTAGATTATGCCTACATAAGACACTTCATGCTAATTTTCTACGCACTTCAGTAATGTCCGAGTTTGTCAATCAGGATTGGATGAAATATTTACCCGATTAGTTATAAAATTCTTATTTTATGATTATTGTGCTTTTTGTTAAACATAACACAACAAGCATTACTCAATACTGAACTCTATACATGATGTACAGATGCATATTGACTGGTAACCATATACCTGTATGACTAACTGACTGATAAAATGACTTTAGACACAGTATTACATTTAATACACCATGAATATAATCATAGGTACTCCTGATATACAAGACTAATGACTCAACTACTTATAGACTGACGATTGACTTCATAAAATGACAAGACTTTGATATATAAATGCCTAATCCGTTAAACTGCATATGTTCACATATGAAAAAGACAAATAACTTGACAAATCTATTCAATTCTATCAAAGATTCAATACATATAAGGCAAATTTTATCTAACTTTCAATGAATGTAAATTTGGCGCCAAACCATCAATGTAAACAATCATTCCTACACATCATAACAAATAATAGCGAAAAGATCCTACATATCTCATGTCGTAGTAAATAATCTAATCTATGAGTAATTTATCATAAGCTAATATTCATAGATCACAAGTAAATGAAATATAAACAAGGTAAACTTACATCGTGGCACCGATACATCTGCCCAACAACTGCACAACCACGTTGGCTAAACCGGAAATGTACAAAACACAAAAGAGTGGGCGCACTAATAGCCCAAAAAATACTCATGTGGCGTACACTAAAACCCGTAAAAATATACAAAATCATGAAACAGGTAAAATCGATATACATGTTACTTGACATAACTGTTTAATAAAGGTTAAATTAGGCACCATGCATTGTGTAAAACTTTGACAATATCGAATCCCAGATGATCAATTTTCTTTTAATTTTTTGAAACACTTTTTTCACGAAATGATAGTATTCAGCATGTGAAATGGATAAATTATGAGGTCTGGCTTGAACAAACTCATAAAATCATCATTATACAGTGTGATAAATATATCATATAAAAAGAATCTTCTATACACATAAAGAATAAGCAATCAAATCTTTATATCCATATTTGCATATTTTATTTGCTTCAGTATACATGTATACATTTAATAATTCTACAATAATGGCATAATAATTCAGTCAGGTGGATCCGACTCGATCCCCCTCCCCCCGAACTGCTCATGGTTTACTTTTTCCCTAAGCGGGAGGACACAAATTCTCTGAATTAGCTTGTTTTTTTTTATTTATTTATTTTGGGGTTTTTGGAATTTTTTATGTTTCTCTGGTGAACCCCAATGCACTTACTCTTTTTCAAAAGCCAGAGAAAGGGGTTGAAACATTTCTTCAAGTTTAATAAGTTAATTAGAATTTTACCGCTTTGTTTGTTTATCTGCATGATCTGGTCTGCCGCATGGGGTAATGGGACGTTATTTTTTTTAGACCCTAATAAGATAAATAAAACAATTCTTAAATGATAACATTTAAAAATCATGAGTAAAATATTTAAATTTTTTTTGTATTAGTTGTTGTTGTTAAATTTCAATTTCATTTTCATTCCTCATCAGATAATTGATAATTTTTGATTATAAAAAAAGAGTTCAAGTTTTCAACAGATTCTCCACCAGCCTGGGAGTGTGTGTGATATAAAAGGAATTTGTCATGTTTTTCCGGATAATAATTACGTTGTTAAAGTGCATGTTGAAACAAAAAAATTGAAAAGTTTTTCAACTGGTAAAAACTGTTTTGAATAAGCTCTACAACTGCAAATGACACAAAGATATTTTTCTACACTTTGCACCGCGGATTGCAACATAGCCTTTATTCTACAGAAACCACAATTGGCATTATCACGTGACCAACATCCAGGGTATAAGCATGTGGTTCATTTTAAGAGGCCTACATCTTCATTTTGTTGACAATAAATTCTTATCATTCATCAATGATCATTGCTTTTGTGTTTTAAAAATTACATTGATTTTTTCTGAAGCAAACTGTCTCGTTATCTTTTGGAAAAATATGACAGGTTTTAAAGAAAACTTTTACGGTAGACACAACAGCGATAAGTTACGTCTACACTACTGTACATTACCAAAAAAATGAGGCTATTTTTATAAAAGCTATTTATTTTAACTTCCAATTTTTTTTTTATAAAACTCAGTGAAAAACATTTTATTCCCAGAGATGCCAAATATTAAATTAACGAGATATACTTTGACTCTATAACGCTCATATGAAATGCACTGCTTTCTAAACCATTGATAGAAATAGGTCCATAGGACATGGCTTCCCCGCCAAGGATACTATGACCGCGTAATTTGGGTGATTATGAAGTTTAGTAAAAAAAAAAATAGATACATTACTAATTACGTTACATGTGTCAGTACTGTCAATTCATAAAAAATGTACCAAAATGAAGAAAAGTAAAATTGAAGTCACTTTAACATTTTGGACAAAGTTGTATAGTTCTCACCAATCAAGAACCATTGGGTAGGGAAAGATGAAACTAATTTGGAGGCATCCTTAGGTAGTGTTAATTAAAGTTTTTTTTCAAGTCATGACCCCCCGGAGTAGGATGGGGCCACATTGGAAGAGCAAGATTTTTCATAAAAATATAGGAAACATCTTAAAACTCTTCTCAAAAACAACAAGCCCTGAATGATTATATATATACAGAAGCATCCCCAGGTAGTGTAGATTCAAGTTTGTTCAAATCATGATCCCCGGGAATACGGTGGGGCAAAAAAGTTCAAACGTATAGGTAAAACACAGTTAGTCAAAGAAATATGTCAGCATTCTTCGTAGATTCCCCTTCTGTCTTTTAGGGGTAGGTTGTGACCATGCATTTAAGGTTTTCAAATCTGGATTGATTTTTGCTTTCTTCCTAGCCACAGTGCTCAGGTGAGCGATGTGGTCCATGGGTCTCTTGTATAGATAACAATATCTTGAATAGGTTCTTTGAAATTGATTGAAACACAAATTTAAGAAAAGTGACGTCAAGGCAAATGTAAAAGTCAAATATTTTAATGCAGTTGAATTTACCACAATGTATCAGCTCAATCGCTAAATATACCTTGATTTATTTCTTGAAAACTAAGCTCAAACACAAATTTTATCAAAATTCCATAAGGTAATTCTTGAGCAATCTATTTATACCTTTTACAACTGTCGCAAAAGTAGTTGCTGTGCATAAAGTTAACTATTTTTCCGTAAAAGCCGAGATTCCGTGTTGCAGTAGGTGCAGGCATGAAAAAGATCCCTCTCTGGCCAATGGCCTTGAGTGCCGAATATAGGATAGAAAATGCAGCTCTCCACAGGCAAATGGTGGCGTCATCATATAAGTGAAATGTTCTTGAGAAATTTCAACAAACCAAAAAATGTTCAGGCCTTTCCAAATGTGTTAATAGATAATCCGGAACAGCAAGTATGATATCCAGAATATCCATAATAGTTTGCAATTGGATTCAAGTTTGGTTTTCATGATTCCTTAGACCCACAGCCCGAGAAAACAATGTATGGTCTTGAGCCAACTTGTCTCGGATGAGCTTTTTAGTCATTGGAGTTCTTATGTTTAAGAGTGATTATGAAATTAGTAGTATGATGTAGTTTGAAAATATTCATATAAACGGATTAATAACAAGCTTAAGATAACGTCGTGCAACAAATTGCAGGAAATCTTTTAAATTATCTAAACATTTCTTGAAGGTCCTGCATGGCTGATAAAACATCCACACTGTCTTTTGAGAGCTGGACGGACAAACTGAATGGTAAATGGACTCCTCTGGTTTTCCTGACATTGGGCATATTGGCATTTTTGTACCCAGTGTGTTTTAATCCAATTGAATGTGCCTTTCCAGCGGAGTTCACACAAGCCATGGTTGATTATGGAAAAGCTCGGTGTTATAAAGCTAGATCAATTAGGAACGTGCCGTGGAAAACCAGCGACCACAATCTCTATCATTGTATTTCTGTCGAGGATGTTGATCCTTCTGATGATCCTTCCAATCAGACAACTCTGTACCAACATATGTATCTAGTTCTGATTGTACAGGCTATCGTTTTTCGAATTCCATTTATGTTGTGGAATCTGATTAAAAAGAAGTTGGGTATCCATTTTAATGTTCATACAGGAAGTGGAGAAAAAGACGGCAAATTCGAGGGCAAGAGTCTCGCCATCTACATCTATTAATGGATACAAAACAGGAAAATTAACATTTTATCTCTCGGGGCATTTACGATATTGCAGTGTTTTATCAAATTAATGTATTTTGTGAGTATTTACACCCACTTGGATTTTTTGGATTTTCTCTTAAGTCAGAACAAAGAAATCAGATTCGGTTCCTCTTTTATAGAATTTATGAAGGGAAACAATGTGACTGTTCGCAAACCCTCTTCATTTTTACCTCAACACATCATGTGCAATTATACTTACTCTGTTTACCAGCATACTAGAAAATACAATGCCATGTGTACTCTGACCCTGAATCCTTTTTGGAGCACATGGTGGCGGTGGCGTGGTTGTGGTTAATCCTCTGTATCTCTTTCACTATAGCAGATGGTATATTTCACGTATTTGGTGCTGTCCTTCCTTTTTTCAGAGTTTGGTAAGTTTAGCTTTCAGGTCATTTATTTACTAAGTAATCGTAAAACTAGCAAATCATCAATACCATAATATACATGTAATTACAGGTACATCTATATAGACCATGTATACATCCTCCGAAATTCTGCAGTTAAAGATTTAGTAAGAAAACAAAGAAATGACAAATTCATACTGTGTTCGTCAATTTTTATTGTCAGTTGAATAGAATTCTAAAATAGTACTATAGACCTAATAGACACTACAGAAAAACTTAATGTTGTGAAATTCAGGTTGTGGAATAATCGCAACATTGTAAACTGCAGGAACAAAATACTGTAAATTGTTTTAATTCCACGATGTTAAAATTTCACGATATCTTAAAAAGTACTTACGATGGTTTTAATTTCACGCTGCAAGAAATTAATTCAAAATTTCGTATAAGCAATTTATCATTATTAAAAACTAATCATAACATTCACGATGGGTTTAATTTCGCGGAAAATTGATAAATCGCGAACATAGCGAAATTAAAACCATCGTGAATATTTGCCAATCTATAGTATATAAATCAATAAACTAGACTAGTATATTATAAAGTACCTGCACAAGTTTTCAAAATATCTTTTTATTTTTGTTTTTAGGTTTGTGAAATCAAATCTGATAAAATCAGAGCTGGGAAATTCAGAACATGCCTTGTCAGACCGTAATATTGAACGATTTTCTTCAAACTTGGGAGAAGATGTAATTTCCTTTTTAAAGCTGGTCCAAGATAATGAAAGCGGAAGTGTTGTTATGGAAACGGTCACTGAGTTATGGAGGATGTATCATGGCGACGTACAACACACTCCCGCAATTTCATCAAATTCTGTACCTTTGAGAGCTGCTTTGTCGAGCCCTGAATCACAGCAATCACATGACTAGGATGGTTGTTGTGCATTTTTATTAAGTTTGTGAGAAAAATGTCAAGAGTTTAAACATCGATATATTTTTAAAAAAAAAAAAGAACGTTTAATCCTATAATGATTAAAAAACAGAACGACCAATGAATAAATTCCAGTTTTATTGACTGGATAGCATTTAAAGACGCGGGTATATGACAAAACAATTTACAAAAAATACTTTTTTGGACGGAATACTATATAATAATAGTCATGAATTTATTTTCAAGATCAAATCAGAAGATCGCCAATGGTTATAATGTTTCATTATCCTTAGGTGACTGCCTACCATCCTTCATGGTTGATAAGGTACTGAGCCCTAGCAATGACGTCATTGCTGTAATCGTCACCAGTGGAACCAATATCTAAGTTTTCCCATGACTGAACATTTCCAACTCCAAAATTGTAGGCAGCTACACCACCTGCAAAAAAATAAAAAAAATTGTTTCTTCTTAATTTTTTGTGAAGATTGATGATAAAATCGAGATACCTATATTGAAATATTGACATTTCTTCAATAGATTAGTGTAGAAAAAGATAATTAATTTACATTAAAATGAAAGAAAGGATGAATTATGTATCTTTTTCAGAAAAAAAAATAAATTGTTCAATTAGAGCAAAATTTTCTGGTGTGGTTTAAATACATGTATATAGTTCATATCCCGTCCATATTTCTGTATACTAGTATTATACTTGCATGTAAATTGGTTAAACCTGTTTCGTCTGAAAACATTTGTTTAAAAGCACAAATGACTGCTGAATAATGAAGACAGGCCCTCCAGCGTAACAGCAGTCAAAATTTGCTTGACGACGGTGATATTCCAAAATATGTTGACTGCGCTGAATTTATGCGCGCAAGGTTAAGTATATTTATGTGTATAAAACATTCAGTATAATATAGCAAATATTGCATGTAGTTGATTGTAACATTGAAAAATTCCACCCCAAGAAAACCATTGTCAACCGTGGCGCAGAGTTTTTTGTTGACAACATATTTCTGTATATTAATGTATTTTTAGCCGGGCTTATTGCTCAAAGAGCAATTGCCGGCTTATGGGATCCTGTTCAAGGCAGGATGTTGACCCCATAGTCGCCATTTTAAAGTTACGTGCAAAAATATAGTTCTTACTCTCAACCGCTTTTGAGATAATACAAACGCTAAATAAAGCAACAAAAATAAAGTTTTATCTATATAAAATAAACATTAGTAGTAATGACTTTGAAAACTTCATAAGTCAAAGAACATAGTTCATTAGCGTAAGGATTTTTGATAATCAGAGTTACCGTAGTTCTCTACACATACGAGGTAAAGCAGGAGAGGGAACCAGACTGGCCTGTTTGTTTACATTCAGTTGCGGTACCAGATTAATTCTGATTCTGACAAAATCGGACCGTGGTATTAGGATTGAAAAACTCACTGTCAGTGTCTTATCATTTATATTGATAGTTTTAAAATATTTTTTCATCAGAATATAAACGTGATTCGTGTAAGAAATCCATTCTACTCTGGAAATGAGCCCGGCTCTCTGTACTTCTGAGTACTTTGATTTTATACCCTGTAACTGCTGCTCTAGGGTCCAGGTGGGATGTTTCCTCTGAACTTGTTTTATAAACTTGACCAGTGTGTGTTCCGTCATCACATCTATGTGTTCACAGCTGTCCCAGTGGTAGGTTGTACAATTCCGGCCTATTGTTTTATTGCAAACAGGACAATGCCGCACGTCACACTTTCAGAAAAAGAATTTTCTTTAAATTATTAACGTCTTAATGTTTTCAAAACACTCATTTTCTAAAATAAGAGACCTATAAACTGATAAACTAAGAATATAGGTTCCTGCTATAATCTATGTATAATATCAGACAGAATTTTCGAACACTGTAATTTTGTATTTCTTTGGTACATATTAGTTTTTAAGATGTTATATAGTTGAAATCAAAAATACAAATTACAAATTCTTTAAATATTTTCAAATGAAATTTTACATTGTGACAAATCTTTGTTACTGATTTATCAAAATAATGAAGTTGTATATATGAATATGATATTCTGCCATGTATACCTGCATAGTTCCGTAAGCATTGTTGTTATCTCCCCAGCCATTGGTGTTTATTAATAGTCTACCAGCATGTGACTCTCTGCTGGCAATGGCCGCTATTACTGCAGGGTGAACACCTAGAACAAAATGGAATGGAATTCAAAATTATTCATTTTCAACTTTAAAAGATAAGCCAATACGCTAACAATTAATATTGTTTGCCCTGATTCTACACGTACAGTTATTTTCTCCGGCCGACACATAGCAGCTTTTCTTCTCCGCTAGTTTCTTTAGGTCTGGTGTTATTTCGCTTACTGAAGCAACTGTACCTGTTCAATCCAAAATTGTAAGCAATAAATAAATATTAAAGTAAATAAAAAAGTGAACAATATATATTGTTTTTCTTTATTATTCTAAGCTCTATGATTGGCACAAACTTGATCAAATAAACAAGTATATATATAACAGCATAAAGACTTGACATGTGTTACTATGAAAATGAGAAAAATTATTAATAATATCTCTCAAGAGGAACTTTTCTCATGTTTTACTGAGCAGTCAAAGGTTATTTTTCTATCGCTAAGTAAAACGTATGAAAGGTTCACTACTTGAGCACAGTGTACGAAACAATCTTTTAGCTCCATGTTAATATAAAGAAAAAAATTGCAACGTATGTTCAGCATATGTTTTGAGAGCCATATGTTGAACATACGTTGCAATTTTACCTGCATAGCAAATAATTTTCCCCAATAAAGGACCCTTGTAATACATGGATATTACATGTATAACATATTTATTGAAATACTGATAACTCTGACGAACAACTACAAATTTAGATTGTACAAAACGTATTCACTGAGGCATAATATAATTTTTTTTTTAATTTTATTTGATTTTAACTTTGCAGTTCATAGTGAATAATAAATTTGCCCACCCTACAATTCTGATAAACTTATTGTTAATAGAAGGGAAATCTTTAAGTTAAATGTCTTGTTTTATCTTATACTTTACCTCCGTTCTTCCTTCCTGTTGGCACCAATTTTGTTACATCACCAAAACAGTCATACTTTCCTATATTGTAAAAATATATATTGTGTTAGAAAGAGTAAGCAGGCGCGGATCCAGAATTTTTACTTAGGGATCCAGTCGACGAGTCACTAAAGTCCTTTTCCAGACGTTTCAAACACTAGAAAATTAAATGTTAAATAACTATTTCGTAGCTGTGTTCGTGGTACTTGTAACCCAAATTTTCTAGGGGGAGGGGGGGGGGGCAGACCACCACCCCCTCTCCTTGTAGATCCACGCATTGTCAGTCATATAAAACTTAAATGTTAAAAATACATGTAAATACATGTAGTTCTCCATAAAAATGTCATCTGTGATTTCAAGAAGAAAGTGACCAAAAATGGTTCTTAAGGTCAGATGACACGTTCTTCAAATATAATTATCTTTTTTCTCTTTGTATTATATAAAAAATATGCAAATTTGTCATTCTCTTGTGATGTCGACATTGTTTTCAATATATTTTAAATATAAACTTGCACATGAGAAATTGTGATAAAGGGCATTCAGATGATGTTCCCATATGGGATATATAAGAAATATCTCCCTGTGGTATCTTGTCCAGATGCCTGGTAAGGTACACTGATTTTTTCGAAAGGAGACTAGTTTAAGTACCTAGACTTCAATGACATATTCTTGGGAAAATTAATATATATTTTTGAGGAACGTGTCGTCTGACCTTAAGGAATTAGTTAACAAATTGGGGCAAATCTCTCCTTTACTTCAATCATATACATGTAATACATGCTTTAAGTATTATACCCCTCTTGATTATTTGAGCATGTAAAGATGATGTGTTATGACATTAATTCAAGGCCAATATTTTTGAGGTGATCTTATTGTAGCAAGTTAGAATTCTCTTAGGAAGAGGGCTAAAATAGGCTTTGCAACCTGCTGTCCAATCCCATTTACTTTATGTGAATAAAATTTTGTATAAAAATTAAGAATTCTCCGAGGCGACAAAGAAAAAAAAAACAGTTTTCTCGCTAAGTGAATTGTCAGCTTGCTATAAAATTGATATATCTCTCACCGGAATTCGGAAGACAACATTGACGAGTTGATCTTCCAGCACACAGCATTTTCTCAAATCGTCCATTATTGCAGCTGACTGAAGTTTCCTTGCATTCCCCTCCTAGGTTTGTGTATTTTGAATCACCTTTCACTGCAGTCTTCGTAGTTTGCTTTAAATTCACTGTGAAAATATAATAATATCCTATTGCGTTCTGATTTACAATAGTATACCTTATATATCGATTCAACTGTTGAAGCTCACAAAATAAGTGTAAAAATTATTAAGACAGACTTATATAAATGAATGTACCTCTAACCAACTAAGTCATGCTTTATTAGATGATAAACCCAAACTAATAGAATTAAAATTTAAAATCAGCCTTTAATCGACGATTTGGTTATATATAGTTATTGTCCTGTCTGTACGTCTGTCTGTCCGCGAAAACTTTAACCTTGACCATGCATATAACCATTGAGTGGTTGGGGCTATGGCTTTCATATTTTACATGTGTATTCCTTGTGTCAGGACTTTTCTTTGAATACAAACAAATTTGACCTCTTGACCTTGGAGTCTGACCCACTTTAACACAAAATTACCAAAGTTTGACCTCGGCTTTTGCACAGTTGGTACTAGAGCTTCCATACTTCACATGTGTATCTATTGTAATAATACCTTTCAATGGGTATAACTATTTTTTTACCTTTTGACCTTGACCTTAGAATTTGACCCACTTTTAAAAAACGTTAACGTTGGATACAACTTCTGAACAATAAGAACTAGGGCTTTCATATATCACAGGTTTATTTCTTATGATAAGACCTTCCTTTGTATGCCAACAATTTTTACCTTGATCTTTGAGTTTGAATTGAAAATGAGATAGTTCAACCCTCGCCAAAAGCTGTCATATGGGAACATCAGTGTTTCACAAACACTTTGTTCTTTATGCGGAACTAACCTTTTACTTATAATTTAAGAGAATTAAAAAAAAAATACCCGGTACTTTGTGGCTCTTGTTTCCAATGATTGAAACTTCCTTTAATTTTGATGACGACAAATAAGAATTCAATGTTAAATGACTCATGAGTGACTTACAGAGTATATAAAGTGTTGATTAAAGAAACTAAAGAGGTGAAATTAATTTTTTGTCCTTCACAATACTAACTTATCTGGCAGTGAACATGGGTCCCACCATGGCTCCACCCCTTAGCTGTAGTACAGGCCTTTGTGTAGGCTTCCTCTTGGTTTTTATCCCTTGAGTTTGATCCTGCTATTTTGTTCAGTTGTAAATCGACTGCCATCCCGCTGTAGTGTAATGACGTACTAGTGTGGCAAGAACCCGCTAGAGAGTTTATCTGTATCCAGATAAAATAAATAAATAAATAAAATAAATAGATAAAAATAATAGTAAAAACAAATCATGGAAAAACAATTGAAAATAAAAATTATCATCTACTGATATACACATACATATGTTTATCCTACAGAGAATTGAATTATCTATATTCAAATCCTTTCGAACCTGGGGTTTGTAAGCAGTCTTCTGGAGATCTATGACGTACTGTAGAATCAATTCGTCAAGACAAACAGTCCCTCCAGGGGCCGCGTGAGTCTTACCACTGATTTCACAGGGATAACTAAAAATATGTAATAAAATAAAATAAAGTAAATAAAATAAAATAAATAGATAGATAAATAGTTATAGATAGATAGATAAAATATACATGTACTAGTTCACAGGATCGTTTGACTAATTGATTAAAAAAAAAATATGTTCTACTAGTTTTGTATAAGGAGTAAGAATTTTTACGATGATCTTCTGGCTGGTCTCCCTTGACAAGCGTCCTGTATATTCTTCAGAGCTGTAGCGCCATCATCCGGTGGGTTTTCTCTTGCGTGTGTGTTAAGTAGTATCAGTTTTTTTGATGTATGAGCTTCAAGGATTTGGCAGGACAAAGTCTTGGCAATTCCACTGCATTCTGGATCAAAGGTATGAAAAATAAATATACACAGTAATGGACTGACATAAACTATACACCACGCAATTCTCAATTAATTAAAGAATAAATTGTTTATAAGTATATATCTTTTTGTACTTTACAATATATAAATAGCTCATCTTGTACAGTACTGTATTAAAGTCCCTATTTTAGTGAAATATATATATTTAGAGGAAAGTGTTTAAATTTTGAGGCATCTTCAAGATATTGTTGCACAGTACATGTACCGGTATACTATTTAGGCGAGGCAAAAGGGAAAAGTTTTATTCCGAATATGGAAAGCTTTGTTTGATTCTTTATTATAGGCACTATGATACCTGTTTGCATAGAAAATGAGTATGAGAGACACTGTGGATCATTGCAGCCAATGACATGGGTAACTTTTACGGTCTTTCCTTCCTTGAATGTCAGCGTGGTTACGTCTCCATGAGCAATTTTCTCCTTTAGATCGTCTATCTTTTCTGAAATCAGCTTTTCGTTTTTTGATTCAGAGTAGACATAGATCCGTACTGGAACCGAGTCTCCGTTTGATGGAAGTATTGCTGGGCCTACTGTTTTATATTTTACACCGGAATCTGACCACTGAAATGATTGGGATAGTGTCTTAGCAAGCTCCTCAGCCAGCGTATCCCATTCATTTGTATTATAGTTTTCCACATAAAACAAGAGCTGCTTTGCCCAGCTAGGGGCGTACGTTGTCATCAAGCATCTCTTAAGTTTGGAGAAGACACCTCCAACGAAACCGTCAATTTGGAAGATGTCATCCCAAGATAACTCGCAGAAAAGATTGTCCACCAAAGGGTCTGTGTAGCAGTATTTTGTTGAGGAATCTACAGTGGATTTCACTTTTTCACAATCAGCTTTAACCTGTGGATAGAGTAAATGAACTAAATCATTTTGCATGCATTTTATGACACCTTTCAACCACGCCTTGCCGTTTTCCGAGATATTCTTGCTACTGTTCTCCAGTTTTTGGCATGTATTACCGGTCTCCGTTACTGCTGGACAAGACTTCCTCTTTGCCAAACATTCAGAAAACCAAGAGCAGTCTCCAGATGGAAAATAACAGCTGATATCAAGCGTATCAGTGTTGTCCACACTTGGAGAATTGGGATCACACTGACAAGCAGACAGACCGCCATGGCTTGCTGTTGCCGAACATTGATACCAGCAATATTTTGTTCTAGACCCCCAGCATGTCAAATGTCTACCCGTGGAGTGCTCGATCTTCTCCTTAGGCATACAAACAGCTGCCTGGAATTTGGAGTATTTAGGAGAATAAACACATCCTGTATTTCCTGAGGGACCTTTATTTTTATCACAATCCGAGAATACCTGATTAAAAACGAGTATTAGATAGAAAATCGAAAGAAGATTTGAACACATATTTCTACCTTCCATTGACTTTCAACTAAATGGATGGGGTAGATTTTTTTTTAAACTTCCTTGTACTACTTCTCCTTTTAATCCCTTGTATACTATTTGTCTACCTGCCAATCATAATGGTCTTTTTAAAGATCAATTTTATTGAGCTGATTTACAAACATATTGATTTTAAATTTCCGTTCCGGTTTAAGGAACGAATTCAGTTTTAAATGTTTATTTCAATAGAATGTATATCTGGTCAGAGCAGTTTAACAACCTTCGCGGCAGACTTTTATGTTATTCCAAGAAGTCTATTGCACAAAATAAAGTAAAAGGTCTTTTTGGGGTGACAACTTTATACAGCAGCACAATACAATTAGAGATTATGTCCACATATACTTGTACTAAATTGCAGTAGTAATTCATAGAAAAAGAAAACTGAAGCAATTTTTTTAAAAAATATTAAATTGATTTATTTTTTTCTTTTTTAAACATATGATGGAGTTGTTCAAGCCAACACCTACCCGGGACTCTTTTCATTTTCCATGAATATTCATTGAAAATAGGTCCATGATTTTCATTGAAGAAACTTGTATACATGTGTATTGAAATTATCATAAAACTTTGTAAATTGGACATGTTCTATTTAAATCAAGGTGATTCATTCTGAAAAAAGTGAAAACACCCTCATTCTAGATGCTTTTTTAAAAATAAAGGATAGATAGTTTCATCCCGCCGATAGCCCGTAAAAACAATAAGCTTAAATTCACTGTATGCCTTCATTGATATGATTATATTAGTCTGAAAATTTATTTTGTTTTAGATATCTTGAAAAGTTGATATTGATTATATAAAAACTTTGCATTGTCGATAAAATTCTTTACGATTCTCGCTGAAGCATATATTGATTTTTTTTATGTTTCTACCTTATGTCTTCAGTAAGCATTTCATCAATTTTACAGTCGCAGTTGGAAGGTGAATTATATTTGCTTTGTGGCAGAGGTCGTGTGGTGGTGTCATATCTTCTCTGCTTTACCCATGACACTTGTTGTTTATATTTCTGATACTTATTTCTATTAACTATTACAAACTCGTTACTATTATAACCATGCACATTTCAAGAGTATATTTGCACCGAAGCCACTTTGACAGTTCCGTAGCTTATAAAGAGTAACATTTCAAACACCAGTAAAGTAACATTTTCAGAATGTTCATCCCTACATTTTATCAATACAGATTTACGGTTTAGAACCACATTTATTATGTTCCTCAATTCTTGCACAAAAAACTGAGTCACAATGGTTACAATTTAATTATTTGCTTAAGTACTTGCAGCTCATTTATGGAAAGCACGTCTACAAAGCTTTTAAGCTCAACAATACATGTACACAAAAGGTAAAAAAAATATATTAGTCTTCGATACACTGGTTGCAAAACGTCTAGATATATATGCAATTTACTAAAGCTGTCATTGGTATGCCATTTCCAAGTAAAAATCTATCACTTCAAAATGACCTTCGTCTGTCTCGAAACGTTTTCAAGACGTCTTGTAAATCATGTCCACGGTGTTTCTCTGACGTAATACACGTAATGCAAATGGGATCGTCACAATCTTTACAATACAGTTCACATCGTTTGTTATCATGAGAGGAGCATGCTGGGTATTGGTGGATGAAGCCGGGAAATCTGGAGATGCTGTGTTTCTCGTCTTCTTTTGACTCGAGGTGTTTCTGAACACATCCCCTACATAGGTTGACGAGGCAGGTCTCACACTGCATGGCCACGTCCTCAAACTCACATACGTCACACTCCACGTCTTCTGACGCCACACTGAGCTGCCATTCCTCATCGTCACTGGAGTCACTCATCTCTATCGCCGTCACCCACTGTATAAAGATACCTTAACATGTTAAACATCCAGGCTCAAGACGTACCGTCACCAGGTTATTATTATTTCCCTATATGAACTGACTGTTTTCTGTTTCCATTGATTGTGTGTACATGTTTTAATAAGTTCAATAGTGATTCGTTTTTATATAAAAGATATTACATTATATTCTAGATATTTGGCCATGACTAACGCTCGTTGCCTGAAAATATTACGTTTATATGTGTAACACACATTTTCTCCGATTATTGACTCTTAAACGGTACACATTTTGTTTGATAAATCATTTTTTTTAATTTCCAATGAGTAAATGTGTTCATCTACATGGAATTTCTAGAGTATTTATTTGATATTTTATTAACTAATTTCATGGAGACAAATCTTAAAGATTGATGTGGTTTTAGGAGTTATTGGTAAAGATCACTATGAAACCTAGAATTCTACCTACCTTCTGTGGAAAAATGGCGATTGTCTAAAACGTTTACCGAACTCTGTTTGGTTTAAATACCACACTCTTCAAGTACAAACTTGTCATTTATAATCAATACTAAAACGCCAGCTAATATGAATGAATTTTACTGACACAGGTTGTCTAACCAAATTATATTATTCTGGTCCCTTTTTACAAAGAATCTTACGACTTATATCATTAAATTCCCCCTTGCTACAACAAATATCTAGGCTACGAAAATCTTGTCTAAATTACATTAATTCATTATATTAATACACAGTATTTTTGTAATTGAATTGAATTTTTAAAATTATTTGGAAAAAATATCCTAAAAATTAAAGAGTGTGGAAATATTAGTCTTAGTCGTAAGAGCTTTTTGTGAAAAAAGGGCCACAGATAGCCGCAGTTCTACATGTATATATATAATTATGATGAATTCGTGTCATCATATTTCAATACGCCAGTTAAGTTATCCGATCCATAAAAGAACATGATTTTCTACCCATAAATATCCACCCTGTATTAAATTCTCTGAAACTAATTCAAAGCAGTTTGGAGTAGAAAAGAATTTACCCAAAATAAAAAAAAAAATATGATATATAAAATATATGATTAACCGAGCAGTACTTAATTAATTAAGAATGCATTGAGGTCTACGGGAACAAGCAATTTTTTTTTAAAAATAAAAAATCAAATACTAAAAATATGCTATGGTGAAAAGCTGTAAATAATTATGAAGAACAGAAAAACGATTAAAAATAATTTTTCACCGGAGATTTTTTTTTAAATGAATTCTTAAAATTAAAAGTGAAGGGGGATAATTCTTTAAGGATGGGACAAGGTAAAAAATTAGGACACGTTCCGCTGTTATTATATATTAAAACTAAAACATATGAAGATAAAGTCTATAAATAAGGAGTATTTAGAAAATACAATAATATATCTCTTTTGCATTCAGATACATTGAATCTGAGGCTATTGTGAATCTAATCTCTATTGAGATTCTGTTGGGCCAGATATTGGGCGTCAGCCCAAAAGAACCTCGAGAACATTATGGATCGGATACCTCCTACCCACTTTTTTCGTGAATTAAAGTCAAGGGGAATTGAATGCAGTAGTGTATGAAAGCATAGTGTGGAATCCGCTGAGCGCTTTTTTGTTTGCTTGTCAAGTTTTTTTTTGTATGTAAGTTGAATTTTTTTTTGGGTGCCCCTCTCCCCTTTCAAAAACGATGATATGTCCCTTTTTCAGAACGTTTAATCTTTTATTAATACTACAGATTTATTGTTAACAACTAAATTCATTAGATGAAACGCAAGAATATAAACAACAGTATTCAAGATCAAAAGTCTATAAAACGATGCAAAATAGAAGCAGAGCAAACACTGACTTCAAAACACCAGAAGTGGGATCAGGTGCCATGGAGGAGTGAGCATCCCCTGCTGACCGGCCACACCCGCCGTGTGCTCCTTCTCATGATCGAGAAATAACGGGAAAATACGTCTTATAATATACATGGACTAACAATAAGTATGAAAAATGTCAGTCAGCATTTGACTCAATGATAAATTGTTACTTCAATTCTTGCGCAAAAAATATATTACTTTGACTAAAATTGGGTATTGCATATCTCTGGAAAGCACATCATAGCATCTACAAAGCTTTAATACTTCAACAATATACATAAAAATATAGTCTCTAGTTTGCACGTTCCTAATGTTATAATTGGTATAAAACCTTTCAAACGAAAGAGCTTTCTCTTTAAAATGATTTTTCTCTTTCCAGAAACGTTTCCAGGACGTCTTGTAAATCATGACCGCGGTGTTTCTCTGACGTAATACACGTAAAAAAGAATTTCGATCTGCAATTTCAATCCGGTGTTTTCCCCACGTCCGCGTCGATTTGTACCCGCCCATTTCATTGTCTATCACTGAATGTTTTGATTGTAACAGATAGAAATGACGTAAGCTGTATATTTCCAATTTTGCCAGTTAATGTTCAGCGGTCTTAATGTAAACAAACTTTTTCTCAGTACCAATTCTAATACTACATTTACGGTACATCACTAAAAGTGTGGGGGGGGGGGGTGGCAACCAGGCGTTCTATACTGAAAGGAAAAAGAAACGCATTAGAACATACTATGGGAAAAGTTTTTGACTATGTGGCCGAAAAATATGAAAATTGGTCAGATGTGTATTTTGGTTACTTTGCACTAAAATCGCTAGTCAAAACTACTCAACCATGAAATGTATGGCGTCACGTAGGGGAAATGATAAAAAGTCAAAAACACGTGAATGTTGTTGATGATAATTTTGTGATAAAATTTTGTAGTGCCATAGGCTGCATTAGAGTTATAGACATCGTTTTTGCATATTTACAGTCAGTATAAATTTCTCGCAATCGTGGTATGGCTGATGGAAGCTACTGTGGGCCTAGTAATTGAATTCAATATTGCATAAGTGAATTAAAAGGCAAAAACATGCTGCTGTACAGATTGTTTTTAAGGAGGAACAGTATTAGTGGCTTGGTCAAAAAGGGATAAGTCTAATAATACTGGTGATGTCTTTATTGATGGTAATATCAACGTAAGAACTGTAAAAACAAATACAAAATTTATCAGTAATTATTACATAACAAGAAAATCTAAAATTACATAAAGTACACAAACATGCACTAAGATGACCCTTTGGTATACATACACATGTAGACTAGAGTTCAATATTCAATAATATCAGCTAATATGAATAATATCTATACGTTTAATTTAATTCACTTCTTAATCTCAATAAAATATTACCAGTGACAATCAGGAAATACAACTGTGCTACTTCACTTAAAACGTAAACAAACTTGGCGCCTTGCCTTACATCACCGTACAAAGGGCAATAACTCTAAGTAAATCATGACACAAAAATTCCATGTGCACAACAAATAATCTCACAACCGATAATTTACATAACAAATCAGTTCTATTTAATCATTAAATAGATATGATACATAAAATACATACTGCTATGGGACTAATAATTATCAATCAAAATTTCACTACACATGGGTCAAAATGGCGCCATGTATAAAACCACCCTAGCCATGCTTGTACAAAAAAAGCTCTACATACAGAGTAATCGTTATAAATATATAAATCAGAAACATTAACTAACAAGATCAGGAAGTTAAACGTTACTATGAGCATATGAATATACATGTAAGCATATATAATTGTTAATTACCTTGTTCTCCTGACCAAGTCGCTAAGTTTTAACTTTATCGTTCTTTCGTTCACGTTAGGATGTACAAAGATGCTGGGCGGAAATTACGTAATATACAAGTAGTAGCCGGACCCAAATATAAGAAGATTGCCTATCCGGAATTATTTACCAAACATTGTTACACATATGTGATTTACAAAAAATATTGCAAATAAAATAGACTCCATTAAAATTATAGTAAAATAAAAATTATGACATTTACACTCCCACCAAAATCAGCATGATTTTAGACATTTAAAGTATCAATAAAGGTGTTAAGCTTGCAATCTACATATCGTCTAGAATACAACATACAACTATAACATAGCAGTTACATTAATTTGCAATGAGTAGCACAAGCTTGTGAACTGTTCTCTCCAGGACTCCAGACTGCATTTTCACCTTGACTCTCCGTACAAGACCATCTTCATCTGGGTTGGCTTCGACAACTCTACCGAGAGGCATTGGTTGCGTGGCAGGTCAACGTCCTTCACCAGAACAATGTCACCTTCCTTGATGTTCCGACGAACTCCATGCCACTTCTGTCGTAAGGTGATCTGAGCCAAGTACTCATGTCTCCAACGGGACCAAAATTGTTCCATAAGGTACTGTACACGTCTCCAACGTTTACGGACATACACGTCTTCCTTCACGAACTCTCCAGGAGGGGGAAGGGGAGAAGTGGTCTTCCCAGTTAAGATGTGGTTCGGAGTAAGCGGCTCCAGTGAGTCTGGGTTGTCTATCTCACTAACCGTTAGTGGGCGACCGTTTACAATAGACATTGCTTCGTAGAATACGGTTCTCAGCGAGGAATCATCTAGCCTTCCAGGACAAAGTAATAGTATGGCGTTGAGTATGTTACGGACGGTTCTTATTTGACGTTCCCACACACCTCCTGTATGACTAGCACTGGGCGCGTTAAACACGAATTCACAGTGTTTCTCTGCCAAGAATGAACATATTCTTTCCTTGTTAAGTGCTTTCTGTAACTCATTCTTAGCTCCAATGAAGTTGGTTCCTTGGTCCGAGCGCAACTGTCGCACGGCTCCTCTAATTGCGATGAAGCAGCGCAAACCATTAATGAACGCATCCGTAGACATGTCATCTAACATCTCAATGTGGATAGCACGAGAGCACATACAGGTAAATAGTAACCCATATCGTTTTATTTCCTTCCGTCCCTGTTTCACAATAAATGGGCCGAAACAGTCCATACCGCAGTATGTGAAAGGCGGAGATGGTTCCATACGCTCCTTGGGCAAGTCTGCCATGCTCTGTGTCTCTGTCGGTCGTCTCAACTTCCTGCATATAACGCACTGACGTATGTAGCTGGCTACTGTCTTACTTCCTCCTACAATCCAATAACCAAGAGACCGGAGCTTGTTCAGGGTAATTCCTCTTCCTTGATGAAAGGTTTCCTTGTGAGCCTGTGAAAGAATCAAGTGCGTGATATGACCATTTCTGGGTAAGATTATTGGGTTCTTGTAAGCATCAGACAGGGTTGCCTTCCCCAGTCGGCCTCCCACTCGAAGTATCCCATCTTGTAGAATAGGCTCTAGGGGTTTCAGGGAGTTAGACTTTGGTAGCCCTTCAGATTTCTCGAGAGCGCTGATAGCATCTTGAAAGGTTTCATGTTGAACGTGTTTGATGATAGTTTGTTCTGCTTGAAGTCTTTCAATTGGATTTGGTGGATAGGTTCCCTTGACACCATTGGCGAGTCTCTGCATTCTGGCGATGAAGGATATCATTTTGGTCCAAGATGAGAATCGAGACAGAATGTCAAGGATACTAGAATGAGCCTTTGTTTTGGTGCATAGAGTTCTTGCAGATCTTACTTCAGGGTCTCCAAGTTGCAACTCTGTTTCAACACCTTTGCTTTCAATGATGGACTGCCATAGTAATGGAGGGCCGGTCAACCATGAAGAATCATTAACTTCAGATGCACGCAGTCCACGCGAGGCGTGATCGGCTGGGTTGCTGGCAGATTCAATGTATAGCCACTGATGAGGTTTTGTTGCATCTCTTATCATCTGTACACGGTTTGCAACAAATACGTGGAACCTGCGAGCCTCGTTGTTGATGTAGCCAAGCACCACTTTAGAGTCTGTCCAAAAGTACTCTCTGTTGATAGGTAGATTCAGCTCCCTCTTCAGAAATAAACTGACCTTCACTGACAATACTGCAGCTGTCAATTCCAAGCGAGGTATCGTTACAACCTTTAGAGGTGCTACTCTTGCCTTTGCGATAACTAAAGCACAATGTACCTTCGTTCCCTTTACAACTCTAAGGTAAGAACACTGTCCATAGCCATTTGTGCTTGCGTCCGAGAAATGATGCAGCTCAAAGGTTATCGGTTTGCCAAAATCACTTGGTATGAGGCATCTTGGGACTTTGATGAGATCTAAGCTTCCCATTCAAGTAGTCTGTCTGCGGGTAGAGGGTCATTCCATCCTATGTTACCTTGACACATCTCCTGCAGTATTCGTTTCCCAGTCAGTGTGAAAGGGGAGAGAAATCCCAATGGGTCGAATATTGATGCTACAATGGATAGCATACTGCGCCTAGTAGGAGATGCATTCTGGTCGACAGCTTTGAAGCAAAATGCATCCTCTTCAATGTTCCACTTTATACCAAGTGCTTGTTCCATAGGTAATTGTTCATGTTGAAGGTCTAAGTCTCTAACATCTGCCGCTCTCTCTGATTCAGCAACAGAATTTATTACGTTCTTGTTGTTGGAAATAAATTTGTGTAGACGCAATCCACCATTGGCACACAGAATCTGTGCATCTTGTATCAACTTGATAGCTTCTTCTTCCGTCTCAACACTGGTGAGTCCGTCATCCACATAGAAATTATTCTGCACAAAGAATGATGCAGCTTGAAGTTGCTCTTCTTGGCTTTTGGCTAAGAACTTGAGTCCATAATTAGCACATCCTGGGGAGGAAGCCGCTCCAAACAGGTGTACTCTCATACGATATTCCTTGGGTTCTGCATCCAAGTTTCCATCCTCCCACCATAGGAATCGTAACAAGTCTCGGTCTGCTTCATGTACAACAAACTGGTGGAACATCTTCTCCACATCACACATGACAGCCACAGGGTGTTGTCTGAATCTGCATAGAACCCCAGTCAAAGCATTTGTTAAATCCGGACCAGTCAGTAGATATTCATTTAATGAAGCCTCTTTGAATCTTGCTGAACAGTCAAAAACTACTCTAAGCTTTCCAGGCTTTTTCGGGTGATAAACACCATGATGTGGGATATACCATGTATTTCCACTGACACCATCTGACGATACTGGTTCGGCGTCGCCTCTTTCCAATACTTCTCTCATGAAAGTCTTGTAATGTTCTTGATATGTCTGGTCTCTTTTAAGTTTTCGTTTCAGATGATCTAAGCGAATCAATGCAAGTGACTTGTTGTTAGGCAGGGAGGGTCGCTCCTTGAATGGTAGAGGCATTTCCAAATGCTTATCCTCATGCTGCTGTATGTTTTCTTTCATAAAGTTAAGGAAGGCGATGTCATCTTGAGATATCTTTATATCTTCATTCTTGTCATGAGCAAAGTCTTTCTCCAAAGTTTTTATGACATCCCTGGGTGTACAGCCGTGTAGCTCCTTCACTGAAGTTCTGTGACATACAACAGCAACGTCCGAGTCTGTGCGGTCTGTGTATCCAACCACGCTCCAACCAAGAAGTGTCTGGATGCCATATGGCTGGTTCTCGTTTCCTGTTAGAGTTCTTCTTGGTACAAGAGCTTGAGGACAATTGTATCCTATCAATAGTCCAACTTCACATGACTGAAGAGGTGGTAGTTCGTTGCTAAGCTCCTTCAGGTGTGGCCAGCACATTACGGTTTTCCTTTCAGGTATATGTGAGCGATCCGCGGGAATGAAGTCTCTCGTATATGCATTGTCTATTGTCACAAATTCCGTAGACTTGAACCCTCTCACTCTCAGGTTCTGTATACGGAAACTGTTAATGATAGTGTGCTGTGAGGTCATGGTAGACAAGCTGAGACGTGTTGGTTGTCTATTCACATGCAAGGCAGCAGCCGTTTCGTCTAGCACAAAGGTAGTGTCACTTTGTGTGTCTAAGAGAGCATATGTCAATATCTCGTGCGAGGGGTTCTCCTGAACAGAAAGCCACACCGGAACGATCATGGAGGTGCTGTGACCATATCCTCTGCTCACACGAAAGGAACTGGCTTCCTTGACCTCTAATTGTTGCTTTCTTGTTGGTGATTCATCTTCATGCATGCAGGTTGGGTGTTTTCCCTTGCAGATACCACACGTATGCTTCTTCTTGCAGTCCTTGTTTCTGTGGCCCTTGCGTAGACATCCAAAGCACAGGTTTTTCTTACGCACTACCACTCGTTTATCCTCAATAGACAAGTTAATAAATTTCTCACACTTGAACAAGGGATGTCCTTCTTTCTCACAATAATCACATAAGTTGGGTCTCATGTCAGTTCCCGTTGCATTGTGCTGATGAGTTGAATTCGTTGCGAGGATGTTTGCTTTGCGACTCGAGTTTTTGTGCTCTCTGGCAGGTTTAGTGTCAGTGTCCTTGAGCGCATAGATTGACGAGACTGGATTACAAGCAATGCGAGCCTCCTTTACGACGAAGTCCACAAACTTGGAGAATAATGGATATTCACCAGTAGAGTCAATAGTTTCTTGAACTTGACGATTCCAACGCAGTGCAGCCCAATTAGGAAGTTTGCTTAATAGTTTCTGATTTTCAGAGCAGTCGTCCAGAATTTTAAGGCTTGGAACCTGAGGCGTTGCATCTCGACAGGCTAGTAGGAAGTCTTCAAAATCTCTGAGAGCCTTTGAATTCCCTTCTGTGATTTTGGGCCAATTCTCTAGTCTCTTCCTAAATGCCTTCTGCATAACAAATGGGTGTCCGTATCTGTCCTGCAGGACTTGTCTGGCATTTTCATATGCAGAGCTGCTTCCACTGTAGAAGAATCCATCTATAGTCTGTAGTGCTTCACCCGCCACGTATCTCTTCAAATAGAATAGTCTCTCTTGCTCAGGAATGCCTTTACGTTCTATCAATGCATGAAAGGCTGTCTTCCATTCTACGAATCGAAGTGGATCTCCTGTGAACACTGACGGCTCAGGTATAGGTAGTCTATTAAGGTTCACTGAGTCCGCAAACACCTTTGCTAAGATACTTGTTGTAGAATCATCGTTTGTGGTGCTGTTCGAGTTGACTGTAGCGTTGTTAGTAGGTGGGTTGAACGGAGTATAAGTAGACCTCCCAGTGTGTGTAACGGTAGGATGAGTAGTAGACGTGACGACTGGTGTAAACGTAGGGTGGCTGACAATAGTCGGAACAGCCGGGGGGTCAGTTGGACGGCTTCTAAAGGAAGTGTCATGTTCAGTTTGACGTCTGCTTGTGGCTGCAGCAATGTTCACATACCCCTGCATCAAATCCGAGTAGGCCTTGAGTCTTGCTTCTGCCATTGCAACTGATTTCTCTGCTTGCAATTTTCTCACTTCCCGCTGCTGAGTTTCTAGTAGTTTTCGTTGTTGCTCTTGCAGTGCTTCAAACTTTGTTTGCTGTTCCTCTTCTTTCTTTATCGACTCCAGTTCTACCCTTTTGGTTGCTACATCTGCGAGGGCATCCACGAACTTTGAGGACAGTTGTGATTTTATCGAATCACTCTCCGAGACACTAGACCAACTTAAGTCACTAAACACAGACCTAGCATACTCATTATGCTTTAAACCTTTACGACTGTCTATGGTGTCTTCAAATCCTGAGATTTTTTCATTGATGAGATGAGTCATGTCTTTAGAAATAGCAACACAAGTGTCCACTTTCCGAACTACACTTTGGTGTGGTGCATTACATGAATTACGCAAATGTTCAAAAGCCTCTATGACCTCCCTTTCCAGCTTTAATATTTCGTCTAACATGTTTCCAAGATCTTCTTCACTGGACTCTATTTTCACATTTTGTCTACACACCCTGACCTTGAACTTCCATCGATCGAAGCACAATTGAATCCTCTTTTCACGTCTCTTAGACTCCTGGTCCATGTAATCTAACATTCGGTCGGTGGGTTTATGTACCCGTTCAGACTTCCTCTGTCCCACAAGTAAAGTGTCTTTGTTTGTCGTTTGTTGTGTCTCATTATTCACTGGTTCGTTGTTTTCGTTATTCATCGTTGTATCATAGTTTTCGCTGGATGTTGTACCATTAGCTGTATCCGTAACATCAGGCGTTGTACCATCCGGGGTCGTTTTGTCATCAACCTTTGACATCTTGATGAGACTGAAGTCAAGTTCTTACTATTAGTGGCTTGGTCAAAAAGGGATAAGTCTAATAATACTGGTGATGTCTTTATTGATGGTAACATCAACGTAAGAACTGTAAAAACAAATACAAAATTTATCAGTAATTATTACATAACAAGAAAATCTAAAATTACATAAAGTACACAAACATGCACTAAGATGACCCTTTGGTATACATACACATGTAGACTAGAGTTCAATATTCAATAATATCAGCTAATATGAATAATATCTATACGTTTAATTTAATTCACTTCTTAATCTCAATAAAATATTACCAGTGACAATCAGGAAATACAACTGTGCTACTTCACTTAAAACGTAAACAAACTTGGCGCCTTGCCTTACATTACCGTACAAAGGGCAATAACTCTAAGTAAATCATGACACAAAAATACCATGTGCACAACAAATAATCTCACAACCGATAATTTACATAACAAATCAGTTCTATTTAATCATTAAATAGATATGATACATAAAATACATACTGCTATGGGACTGATAATTATCAATCAAAATTTCACTACACGTGGGTCAAAATGGCGCCATGTATAAAACCACCCTAGCCATGCTTGTACAAAAAATGCTCTACATACAGAGTAATCTTTATAAATATGTAAAATCAGAAACATTAACTAACAAGATCAGGGACGTTAAACGTTACTATGAGCATATGAATACATAATTGCTAATTACCTTGTTCTCCTGACCAAGTCGCTAAGTTTTAACTTTATCGTTCTTTCGTTACGTTAGGATGTACAAAGATGCTGGGCGGAAATTACGTAATATACAAATAGTAGCCGGACCCAAATATAAGAAGATTGCCTATCCGGAATTATTTACCAAACATTGTTACACATATGTGATTTACAAAAAATATTGCAAATAAAATAGACTCCATTAAAATTATAGTAAAATAAAAATTATGACATTTACAAACAGGACCTTTCGCTGAAAAAAGGTGTCAATGAATTTCTTTCGTATTTTTTATATTACTAATTTAATATGTACTTAACATTTTAAAACGGTCCTGTCATGGGATTTCTTGACTTATTTAAAAGATATCGCCCTACAAATATCGCCCTGTTTAGAGTTTGTATGGAGTTTAGATACGTCATGTTTGCGGGCCCAAACCGCAGTCCATAATGCGATTTTTTACGCACAAACGATAAATATGATAGATAACACAATATACTCAAATATTTCAGAATATTCATAGTGTTCAAATTATCTGAAAGCAATTGTTTTAATTTTATATAGTATTTGGGTGGGATAATTTCTGCATTTTTCATGGCAGCTTCAACGACAAAAACCTCATTTGCAAAAAATTCTGTCAATAAATATTTTTAAATTTACAATTGAATGTTAGTCCTTTATCGTAATCATTTACTGCATCAATATCACAGGGTGAAGCTTAGCTCAATACCGCACAGGACATCGTTGAATTAGACGTAGGCATGATAAAAACGCTTCACGTTTGTATTTTCCGATTGCGGGAAATCAATTGTGACGTCACACGAAAACATAAACATTCAAAATTATCTAAATAGAGAGAATTTCTGCTACTATACACGAAAAAATATTAATAAAAAAAATTGCTTCAGAAATTTATCACGATACATTGACTGTGACCTGTTTATAATGAAATAAAACTGATCATGACGGGTGTAAGTGTTTGATCTGGCTGCACTGAGAATTCAAACACTACGTCTATGACGTCACTGACGTCAGACTGCAGGGTAAAGAGAAACTAATGTGTGAATTGGTGCAACTTCACAATAACTAAATGATGGCAAGATCTTTAAAAATTTTATTAATAATAATTTCTAAAATTAAATGTTTAAAAAAAACGATTTTAGAATTTAGAATAAAATCACACAAGAACTGTTGATTTTAACAACGTTTAACATGTATATCATAACCGATTATGACGTAATATGTCTTTTTAGTCATGTGACATGTGCCCTGTCTCCCTGAAAGGATTAAGTAGGCCTAACGCATATTAAACTTTTGAGTTAGATTAAAACAATTATTTCAAATATGTTTTCCACCATTGTTATCATACATTTTAATCCATCTTTAATCAAAAAGTTACCAAAATTTTGTGTGATTTTGAGTGGTAATTCCTGAGATAATGATATTAAAATGTCGACACCCCCCAAAAATAAAACTAAAAATTCTCATAATCTCCCTGTCGCATCAGTAACAAACTTTATTTTCCTGTGCATTGAGTTCACCAGAGTAGTTATCTTTTTCAGAGCATTATTATTCAACCCCTCCGACGGTAGTCTTAATGAGTGAGATTAGCTGTATTATTCCAAAGCCAACAAATCCCCCCTCCCATTCGAATACGAATATTTGATTAAGGATAGAATGTACAGAACCCAGCAGGTTTGATACACGTGGATGTTTATAAAAAAGTCTCGGCAAACACTAGCTAAATTTTTCCACTGTAAACATGCTAAAAAAAAAAATCACGCAAACGACGCGTACGTGCGCGTTTGAGACTAAAATCGACGTATAATGGCCAAGCTCGCGCCCAAATTAGAGCAGAGAGTTTCTGTCAATTTAGGATGAAAAAAATGAGTATGATTGTCTGCTTTATAAATATCAGTTTCAGTGATAATGCCTTGACAATAACCGTGGTGGCATGATGAAAATCCCTATCTTGTTGTGACGTTGTTACGCACCAACGTCGCCGTCATGGTTGGTTGGAAACAATTTGAGTTAACTCTCTGACAACCAAAAAAAAACTTTTATTGGGTTGAAAAGTTAAAAACAATCTGTACAGCAGCACGTTTTTCATCAAAATAAGACGTAAACAACAAACAAAATGCATAGATTGCATTAGAATGGGAATAACTAATCTTCTAATTTGGTATTTGCGACCGTTAATGCTGATTTAACGGTCGCAAACATCCGTTTTACCGGCTCCGCTTACGCGTCGCCGGTAAAACTCAGTTTGCGACCGTTAAATCAGAATTAACGGTCGCAAATACCAACTTTTAAGATAGTTATTCCCTAATTATAATACAAAATATTATAATACTTGTATTATACTACAAATCTTATCGTGTATACCGGCCTTTAGGCTCATGGCTATCAAACACTCGGAACACAATTTGCATTTCACCATTACACTGATGCAATTAATATATCCCCAAAAACTGAATTTCAAATTCAAAAAAGTCCGGTTCGAATTCGAAATATCTGTATTGGTCGTTGAAGAAGTTTTGAGGGATCGAAGTTTGGATAATTTTCTTTTACCCTTACTATTCTTTGGTCAAAATATCCCTTTTTTGTGCATCTTTTGGTTTCAATTCGATTTCCATTCTGTCATATATTCTCTCCATCGGAGGGAGACATGTTTACCTTTACAACGCAAAATATAAACTGATTTTGAAAAGTTGCATTCTTATATAAATACCTGGCATCCCCCGAAATCCACCTGTAACTGTCTGTTCTTTAGACAAATACCTTTTGTCACTCGCATCTGAAAACACAATTGCTATTGAACAAATTGCTATGCACCCCAAGCTTACCTGTAACCGCCCATTCTGTAAACAATGAATTTATTGTATGTGTGCCATCTGTTTTGCACATTTTTAAAAAAAATTCTCAGAACAAAGAGAATCATGTTTTAATTAGGAGAAAGGCCTCAAACTGTCCATTCTGTGAGAGAAAGAACAAATCTCGGGCCTACGGCCGTTTGGGGCCGTTCTCCTTTACAGAACTGATGCCTTCATTTAGCCTTTCAAATATCCGACGATATTAAAAAATAAACAACCAATGAATAAATCTTAGTTTTATTGACAGAATAAGATTTGAAGACGGGTATTTGACAAAACAATTTACAAAAACACTGGACGGAATGCTTATAAAAGTCATAAATTCAATTTCAAAATCAAATCAGAAGATCGACAATAGTTATGATTTTTCATTATCCTTTGGTTACTTCCTACCATCCTTCATGGTTGATAAGGTACTGGGCCATAGCCATGATGTCATTACTATAATAAAAAGTCATCTGTGAGAAGAAGGTAACCAAAAATGGTACTTAGCGAATTAAAAAAATGGAGCAAATCTCCCCATTATTTCCACCATATAAGACATGCTTATATTGTACCCTCTTTGTTTATTTAAACATATAAAACTGATCTGTTATGACATTAATTTAAGAACCCTCTCTACACACTGTACACTAAAGAGTTCTGATTCTATGGTATCTCTGCAGTTAGAGTGATATGCCCTTCTGAATTGTAAAAAAATAATTTACAGTATATTACTCAATTTGTAATCGATTGAAATATTCGAAACATTTTAAAAGGTCAAGATAAATAAATTGATCATATTATTTACATATATTATCTCTATGGAAGTAAACAACAGTGATTTCTATTCACTGATACTGTGTTGTGTTTGAAAAATTTTCCTGGGTGTAAATGCCACGTATACCATATATTGAAAATTAAATCTCGGCTTGGCCTAGATCAGGTGCCCATATTAGTTGCAGTTTAACCCCCCAAAAAAGTCAAATGAATAGTATTACAAGTATGTTCTATGTAACACTACATTCCTTTGGCAGATTGTCTGAAATGTTTGTTCATTTCTGTGAAGAGGTTTAAAAGATTCCACTCTTACTATAACAGAGACCCAAGTGGGCTACAGACTATACATATTCAGGCATAACATTTATCTGTATCATATTCAACTGAACACAAATGTATACATGTAAATCAGATCAAAATTTTATCCGAGCCAAAAAAATTACGTTCTACGTAAGTCATTTCCATCGAAAATGTTACAGTATATAAAAGACATGGGTTAATCTGTTAATCTTTGAGAGTTTTTCTACTCTTGATATTTGGAGACTTGAAAAAAAAAGAAGTACTTTCAATTTTTCTAAAGAAACTGTATATGGGAATGAGAATTTCAAACTTACTTGGTAATACTCAAAGAAAAAC